TGACCTGACCACTTAGCCACCATCGCCTAACTAATCTATGACGGGGAATTAATATTCAATTTTTTTATCTCGCTTGATTTCAGTTTATTGTGATCACCTGTCAGCATCCATTTATTACGATGTATGCTTTGTACTGTAGCTCTTCTCGAATTAGGATGCAAACAGCCCAACTTTACGCATGATAAACGTTTTTCCAAACACCCGTTTAAGTATCGAAAAATGCAATTGAGATGTCGTACATCAGAACAACTCCATCTCATTTTGCTTTGAGCATTCCACAAGTGTACAAAATATAACTGCCTTATGAATTTCGATGAAATCACTATTGATGAAGTATAAAACTTAGTTCCCTTCATAGAAAATGAGTTATTCATTTTTATCCGTGTTTGTATTGTTCGAGTTGCTTGGGAACTGTGAAAGCGAACATTTGTCACAACTTATGCACGTTTGTAATCTCCGAGTGCTACAAAATATTTTACTGAATTAATGAAAACTAACCAAAAAATTATATTGATAAATCCTTTATTAGAAACAATATATTACGCAGGGTGTGAATTGAAGCAAAACGTCACCATGCTTCAGTGCTCAAAAACGCGCCATTGCATTTAAATTTCTTACACTGACAAAAACGTTTGAAAGTATGCTCATTACTTGATAAGAACACATTTGAATACAAACAATTATTTGTGGTAACTGATCCTCTAAACACTGCAAATCTTTTTATGAAGCCTGTCAGCCGGGTGATGGGGACATATATGATCAATACATTGTTTCCGTAACTACAGTGAATGATACGTTTCATACTGCAACTGGCTTTCCACTGCTTGACTTGATATCGCTTACCACAGAACCTACGCTCCCTCTGTTGTCTACCAACTTTACTTGCATGGTCCATTGTTTGGTGGTTAGCGCCATTTTCCCAGCGAAGTTAGTATCTTAGGCTTCACGCCTAACCGCTTTGATCGGATGCAATTGGGTCACTTGTCTCATATAGTTGAAACCTCATGCAGTACGTCTGATGGGGCATCTTTTGCAATTCCTTTCTCGCTATTGCAATCACAATTTTAATGCAAACTATTTTGTTGTGAATAATCAGCAAAACATCCCATAATTCGTTGCTCGTCCATCAATGTTCTGTTTACAATGCTTACTTGCTTCATTTGCCATATACACGACGAATTGTCATTTGAAACTTAACCAAATCCTCCATTACCCACATGAAATAATCAGTCAGGTTGTGAATGTTTCCAACCAAGTCATAACCCTGGAGGCTAGTGCTGAGTTGAGCAGGGTCCGTGGCCCGCAACAAACTCTCAAAGATGGGTTGTGCTATATCGTGTAAATGGAAAATGAAAAACGGTCTGATCAGCTGCCCGGTGGCGTAGTGGGTAGCACGCTTGCGTTCTGCCCATGAAGTCCCGGGTTCGATCCCCAGTCGGGTCGATGGATTCGCACTGCTGATGAGACCCAACCAGGTCGAAACAGCTGTCCAGTGCTTCCGAGCTTTTCAGTTCACGCTTCATTTGCCATATACACGACGAATTGTCATTTGAAACTTAACCAAATCCTCCATTACCCACATGAAATGCTTACTTTGACAAACAAATTCAGTAGAAATAAAATCCGGTTTTATACATTTCCATCTTGTTTGAATGTGTTCTCAACTAACTTTGTATAGCTAAACACGCGCTGCATTTTTTCGATTTTTCGATAAAAGATGTTTAATGGGCGGATGCAGAGTACGACCTGTAATTATTTCATATTTAGGGACATTGTTAGTCGCATGAGTCCCGCCGTTTACCCTTTTATCATTCATTTATTTTTAATTTTGATTGATGACGAAGTAACTTTTTATGACTCTGAGAGGAACCACAATTGGCGTTTAAGCGACGAGAACCTGGGTGTAAAATAAGAGGGTGTGCGGAATCAGTGTCCGTCATCCATAGATATACATCACGAAAAGAACATTTCCATCAATGATCCCAATTATTGTTTTAACGCCATTATGACTATGTTTAGTTTGCAAAATATCAGGTAAAGGTTTCGATACGTGTAAGATCACGTGCAGACGTCTGACGCTCAATAACATCACCAATCTTTTGTCATGGTAAACAGACAATTATTCTCCATCTTCACACAATAAAACCCAATTATTGCGAACAGCTTGTTTTATATATTTTTATCTAATAAACTCGCATCCCTTCGCGAATGTCTTTGCCAGTAACTAAAGACATGCGACGCCAAGTGCAATTAAATTGAGCCATGTGGTTAGTACTCTTCTCTTGAGAATTAGTTATATAGGTTTTTATAAAACTCTCAAACCGTTAAACTGTTTCTTCGCAACGTTTAGGTAATTAGAGCCTGGGTTAGGCATTTGTTATTTTCACCACTTATGTGTTCGTTGAGTGCGATGAAAAAATATCTCGCCCACTAGATGGGTAAAATGTAGTAAATATAGTAAAAACAGCGTATTGGAAGCAAAACCAAATGTGTTTTACGATTTTGTGAGAAAAACATAAGATTCTTCCTTTTTTAGGTTCAAAGCACCGGTGTGATGTAAAACAAGCTCATAGCATTTATTCACTGAAGATCCTATCCAGGAGCCTATAGGATCCTACACAGATGCCATACCACAGGAGTGTTTGTTAAAGAAATTCATCTTGATTGAGCTTCAAATTGTACGGAAGCTTCATATGCTTGCTGAGATTTAGTGAACACATTTGTATCTATCAATACAATAGTGTAAGATTATTCTCATTGGTACGGGCACAGCGGTTTGACATTTAAACGCACCGCTCAAACACGCATTGTGGACAGAAACCTGTTCCTTGTAAATGCCAAGATGCATCAAAGTTAGGATTACAGATTGGACTCAAGTGGTAGAGCCTCTGTAGTTCGGTCTCTCCTGTTTTATTCTATTGAGTTACATTTTCCTGTGGTAATAATAAATGAGTTTCGTAAATTGATGTCTACTAGAGGGCACTAATGTAATCCGTCCAACTTAATCAAACCAAGACATTCATGAAAGCGAGGATACTACAAATACGTTACATATTCCAATGAAACACATTCCAAAATTTATCGAATTCTCCAGTCAATCCATCAAATCAAACTAAAGCTATCCATGTCCACTAGCTTTGGCAGTCTAAGAACAACGTAAACACTTAGACTTTATCGTTTATTATCGCTTTGTGTGGAAACCCTGTTTGGTACACTCGTACAAAAACTGCTTTTGATGCCATTGAACAGCGATAATGGATTCGTTTTCAACTTATATTGCGTAGGAAGAATCATTGAAGCGCCTAGGATATGAATTTTCAACACTTTTTCGCTCAGCTCTCTGTCCACGTTTCAACTCATACTACCTCCAGGCTCTAAATGGTTGCAAAGATCAATGTTGGAAACGATAAAAGCAAAATTGATGTTTGTGATTTCTTACCAACGTTAATCATTCGAGGCTGTTTCGACGATAAGTTCTGTAATGTTTTCTGTGAAAGTTTTGTTAAAACAACTAAGTGATTCTTTTCGATCAAGGATGTGTTTTCTCCTTTTCTCAACAGTTCAAAGTAAAACTGTCTTGATTTTTCAAGGTATGATTTTAACTGATCATAATTTAAGAATTTTTTTAGGACGTTGCATTGCCATCGCACGTTGCAATAAAGTTAGGCAAACACAAATGAAGTGTGAAGAGCAACGTGACCGGGGGTCAACGCGGTGAACGGATAGTTAAGTTGTCGGCAAATTTTGTAGCATTTACAGTCACATCATGCTCTCATTCATCTGTTGCTCCCTGGATCTCACTTCATATTAGTCCGCTGATTCCGCACATGTCAACGCATTTTCGGATGTGATGCAATTTCCCTTATGATGGCCGGCAAAAGGCATCGAACAGCTGCTTTTTAATGATGTAGCTCTTCGCAATTATGCATTCCATAAGTAAGCGCCCACATAGTTGCCCGTCGTTCGTCTGACTTCGGGTTATGACTCTGCTTTCAACACAGAGCATTGATACTCAAGCTCCGTCAGGGACATAAAAACAAAGCTATCGTATACTCATTGTGGACCTTCAAAGAAATAAATTGCATCAAGGTAGCGTATGATTTAAAATGATTAGCGATAAATACGTCACAGTGTTAATCTCCCACAAGCATTTTCATAATGTATATCAACGGTTCAATGCACTCAAATCCGCTGGGCAATCAATAATTAATCGAATGATTAGCAACAATTCACGACCAATTTTAATCGGTACTTTCAAAAATATATAATTGACATGGCTAACTAGCACAAATGGATTCAGTTCCGTAGGTTTGATTGCTCTTTCCCCAAAGCAATACATTTTGTATTTAAACTCGTGGGATAAGGAACTTTAGTTCACAGTTATCAGAAACATCTTGATCCGTTGTAGATTGTTTCCCAATGGACGAAATGCGTTCAGTTGCCGACAGAGCGCATGTCTAAATTACCTTGATTATATTCTCATTTCCATTCAGTGTCAATTTTTGCCGCACAAACGCGTAAAGTATATTGCAGTTACACTTGATCAATGATCGGAATTTGGGCTTTGTTTTACTGCCCCGTAATTGGTCCACCCTTATCACACGGGTTGCTGTCCCACCCCCCGAGGAAGCAGTTGGGCAAATCGCTTGGACCAATCACGACAAAGAACTGGGTGCTGATTAAAGGCAACGCCCTTGCCATTTGTTTAAACTATCATCCGGTTGACTGATGTGTGTGGACAATCGGTTGTGAACACATTCTGATTTGCATGGGCCCTGAATGTCAGAATGAATATGCCCAAGACTCTCAGTCAGACAGTGTCACAAACGCTCTTCACGCACATTTGCACATCAACTCCCGTAACTCGGTCACTCTAGCACGGAGTCGTGTTCACGCAATGTATTTTCCGGCCATGCTTTGAGTGCTTGTTGAACTTCACGCATTGCCTCTATTTTACACATGTGTCCCTCCTGTCGTTCACTTTCTCTCACAACTCGATCATGACACGAAAAATTAATCTTCCAGAGAAATCTAGAGCAGACGTTATTCGCTCGTTTTGTCGTTGGACTAGTGTGCGTGGCCTACATCATGTGTTCCGAGCAGAACATCCAATATTGCGTGCTATTTGGGCCATTTTTGTGTCCATCATGCTAGCGGCTAATGTGGGCCTAATCGCACTGCTCATGACACAGTATCTACGATTGAACACGATCGAGAACATTCGGACATTGCAAGGTGTTGCAGTGGCGTTTCCACATATTACTTTGTGTAACGTAGACCCGGTCAATTCCGATCGAGTTTACTGCTTGAAAAATATCAACGCCAAAGGTTGCAATATGAATCCGAAACACACGAATATTTTAGAAAAGTATATGACTGCCAGTAACTACTACACTCAGTTCAAATCATCACCAGTTTGGGATATTTTGGAAGATCCCAGTTTGGTGGCAATTTTTTATCAGCTGATCGGTATGGAAGCAGCCTCACAAATCGGACATCAGTTGGATGACTTCATTATTCCGACATTTTGTGAACTGACAACTAGACAGAAAGGAGGTATATTGTTGAAACGAAAGTGTCAAGATGCCAAGGTGGTCCCAATCAATTTCATTACATACAAATACTTCAACTGCTACACACTGGCTATTTCGGATCCGGAAATTAGTAACACCGCTGTACGCCTGTCTGTCGTGTTGTATCTGGACGAAGAAGAAGACCTCAATTGCCGACCACATTGCACTCACGAATTTACCGAGTGGGCTGGAGCAAAAGTTGTAGTGCACCCAGTGGGCACGTACCCGGATATCGATCAAATGGGCATGAACCTGCTCCCGGGCGCATCCAATCAAATTTTAGTGGACGAGATTCGTCGCATCGAGAAAAAGAATCTACCACCGAAACCGTGTGAAACAGAAGTGAATAAAACATTGTCGTTGGCTTACTTCGACATGAAAAAGCAACAGTTTCAAACGAGGGAAATGAAGTATACAGCAAACCTGTGCATTCAACTCCTCTCCCAGGTAGCCACTATGGAAGGTTGCAATTGTGTGGATTTCCTCATGCCTATACCCGGTTCCCATTTGGATCGTGTGGGTTACTTGCCTTTTTGTGGGAATTTGTCACAACCGGATGTGTTGCACAGCTTGAAATGCAATCAACAGGTTCGAATGAACAATTCCCGAGTGTTTAATGACATTTGTCGAGTACACTGTGTCCAAATGCAGTATAACTACGAACTAACACAATTACGATGGCCACAAAAGCCACGCATTCTGAAATATTATGCGGAACTAAAAGATCGTATTTACTATGATCGTAAGTTCAAAATATACGAGGAAATTGAGGCTATGTCACGTGTGAATGCATCAATGGCCTTGGAAAAATTACAAAGGACGGATGTGTTCGAGAAAAACTTCCTCCAGCTAGATGTGAATCGACCAAACTTTGACACACTAGTTTCGTATACAGAAAACGAGGAATACACTCTGCCAACATTACTAAGTCAAATTGGTGGTCTTTGCAGTATATTTCTCAGTTTCACTTGTGTTTCTGTGCTCGAGTTGATCGAACTACTCGTTCGTTTGACTTGGGTCTCGTGGCCATCACTCATCTCGTTCATTGGTCTCTCAAAGTCATCCCGAAATGTCAAACAGCAAGCACCACCACTACCACAACAACAACAGTCGCAGTCGGAAGCCGTGTCACATAACGGCAATCCCGAAATTGTGAACGACATGAACAAACCGTTATATACAGTTGATCCTGCAACACCGGAATTGGTGACATTTATTCCAAATCACCGTCTCCGTTGGAATACAAAATATAACATACAAAACGCTGATCTTGCACCAGATATGCCCTTAGAATTCGCAAACGAAGTGCCCGGAAGTTTTGATGACAGGAATGTTAAAATGTCTATTAGTTTGCGTGATATCAAGGGACATAACGCTGCTATTCCAACTGTGCCTGATGTCAGCGCAACCGCGCGAAGTATCTCGGATGCGCATCTCAGCTTCACAAAACCGTAGTTCGACGCCCATCAAAGCACAATTTCCTCAATTCATGTGTGGTCTTCCACTAATTTGTGCATGCTCAGGTATCCTTAACTGTATAACCTTCAATAGAGCCTTCACCACGTTGGACTGGGACCAAAGCAGCTGCTTGTCTGCTTCACAAAATCAAGAGGGAGATGTTAATGAAGTCACGTCCGGAAGCGTGAATCTGGATTCATGTGAAATGTAGCAGGTAAAACGCTTGAGAAAGAGGTTCCGCCGCATTTTGGTTCTGTTTCCTTTCATCCCTCTCTCTATCTACCTATCTATTTCTCCAGTCTGATCAATCTATACAGATTCTCAATCTACAAACTTGATCACAATTTTTCTAACGTTATAAATTACCCATGTTTGTAACTACTAACGGTAGTAAATGGTGGTATCCAGAGCGATCTGGTCACATTCCATCAAGCTCAATTTCACTTGACTTCATTGAATTTCACGCAGTCGAACAGTACACTGGCAGTGAATGCACAACTGAAAATTTCTTACAGGAAATAATACGTATATATCATTTTGTAGCTTGAAATTTATCAATTACGAAAATAAGAGATTTGATTTCATTTTCATTGTGGATTTTCTATTACTCGCAGGAAACTTTACTTGGGAAAACAGACGACTAACCACCGACTTTAGTAGCAGGATAACTAGTCTTCGCTTTTATTCACACAGGTATCGTATAGCAAGAAATAAAATAATCTGTGCATTGAATAATTTATCCACATCTGTGTCTTTCACCTGACTATGTGTGTACGTGTGACGCAGTAAACGAATTCTGTCTCATGAGATCAACCACTGCAGTGATAAAAAAACTAAAGGGTAGTGTATTTCATTTATAAAAGAATATACGATGAAGGAGACGGTACCATCCAAAAAGTATTTTGAGTGGCGAACTATGAATAGAAGTCAGCCGTTCAAGCTACTTTTACATTGAAACAATGAAATATAGATGGGACACAGCTATAGTTGCTCGGTGGTTGGTCGGTGCATTGTGGGACAAATCTCTTCAAGCTTATTTTGACAAGTGTTGACATTTTGCTTTCAATGACCACATTTCACAAGGACTAGTTATAATGCTTAAAATGCAGTTATAGTGTTCTTGCCTGGCTTTATGTTTTTACCATCCTTGGCCACGTAGAAATGTACTAAACAGCAAAGAACATGTGTTGACTTCATTGTAACTTCATCCGCTTCACGTTTAATGCAATTAAGAAGCCGCCTCAAACAAATGGTAGATTGAGCCTAAATGAGTTAATTTATAGAAGTGATTATTCAATATGACCCATAAATATTTTTTGTAATTCAGTATCACTCCAAAATGTACAAGCTGCAATAGAAAGTGGAATAACTTTGCGTCTCAATGAGATAGCGCAATATGCTAATTAAATAACTGTAATACGTGCTAATGTTTCTAATTACTGTGTGATAATTATAGCTGATTAGATCAAAATGTCCTCCTAATTGCTGTTTCAGTTGAGAGGAATCAATAACCAATCGATGTGAAATATTTTGATGGCCCAACATTTTTTTCGCTTAAACATACGGAAAATAATTACTCTGAAGATAAGACTATCATGTGTACAGGTTTGAATATTGGTTTATCGATTATTTCATGAACCTTCTACAAAGGGTCAGAAAGACAGCGGGGTAATTCGTCCTGCACTGGAAATGAGATAAAACCGGATGGCTACAACGATGCCGATCAATTTCGGCGAGAACTATAATACCCTCCCAGTGGCGCTAAGAAAGTAGGTTACTCCACCGGATCCGGTCGGTGTACGGTTGATTTCAATTAGATCAGAAATTATTGTAATGATCGATATCCAGTATTGAGGCACGAAAGAGTATAATCTAATAGAATGTTGGCAAACCGATAGGATGATCCACTGTTCCTCAGCATAACCAATGAATTTCATAGACAATAATCCCTACGCGGATATGTTTTCCAAAGCTAATTTGAATTCCACCCCAATGGTTGTCCATTTGTACAGTTGTCCAAAAAGCACACATATAGAACCAACATGCTGCGTAGCATCACCTAAAAGGACCTAGTTCGTTTTTCGAGTTAAACATTGGCATGTTCACCTTTGAATTGTCAGATTAAATCACCCAATATCCCCAAAGGAATCTTCTGTTTGATCCATATTTACATAGTTTTCTTTTAAATATTTTTATGCTCTCTCTAGAGCGATGGTCTTATTCGGGATACAAATTATGAAAACCTCAATAAGTATTATCGTGAGTGTTTCCTATAATTTTTTTCAGCAACTGAGCATACACACGTAGTGATTGGATTACAACCACAAGCTCTCGTCTACCGGCAAATTGGGTGAATCGCATTTTAAACTTATCAAGGGAGTTCACGTCACGGGATAAAACTAGTTTATTTCCTCTGCATACAATTGCCTTGATCTTTCCACACTTGCGGCTCAGTCAACTTGACACCAAAATATTTTAAAATGCGAGCATCTTTATCGAATAAGCGGGTACATCATAGATATTATTTGTAAACTAATTTGATTGTGATTTAGCACTGAGTGTCGCGATGCAAGTGTTATGCAGGACCTACTAGAAATGCGTCAAGTGTTCAACCTAAAATACATCGATTTTTTCATTCACTTTGTGGGAGTAAAAATTAGTGAAAGGCAGAACTTGAATGATAAAGTTGGTACGAATGTAGCTGTTTCAGTATTTTGCAAAAAATAGCAATGAACAAGCTTGTTCTCAATTGAACGTTTTATGCCCCTAAACCGAAATCGTGAATCAACACCGGTAAGATGTGTTTCCACTATCCTTTAAGTTGCATGTAGGACCTCAGCAAGTAGCGTATTCGCGGAGTCCTTTGAGTAAACTGGAATGACAGATTCTCAACATCCATAGTGAATAATATTCTATTTTCTTAATGTAATCGATTTCCTCAAAGAATTACTGACTATCCCTGTATTCTTGTTTGGAATCAGTTTATCGACAGATCAAAAATGAAGACGCGAATGGCTCCATGGAGGGCCTTTTATTAACCCTTTTCCAACAAACTGTTTGATACATCAAAATTGACCGTTATTATTTGATAAAAACGAGTCAGTTATACTTACATGGGTTTATTGCCACCAGATAAAGTTTTATAATTTGCAAGGGAAAGCATAATTACTTTCAATATGAGGTTAATGTAATACAGAAATGGTGATCAATTACAGTGGAAAAATATATTGATCATCTGTCTAAACCCTTCGACTCCTTTTGAGGTAGGAAGCCCCAAAGTTCCCTAGGTCAAATGCGCTATACGTAGACCGGCCGTGAAGAACGTAAATGGCCTTTGATGGGACTCGAACCATCAATGGGGGCAATAACAGCTTACAATTCCCAACCACAATCTTACTTTTGTTGTGACGTCCACTTACATTTGTGAGTAGTAGGTAACATAGTTGATGATTCATTTCGACGACCAAAAAATAACAAGATCTCCGAGGGCAAATTACTGAATGTCAATAACTATCGATTACTACATTCACCACCCGTTATGCGGCCAGGAACTGTGGTTGTATGTTTCTGATGAGATTTTTTGTTCTGTATGCCAAATTAGTGATGCACCATATGTAACCTTCAATAAACAACTGTCCTCCACTGAGCACCGCCCTGTGGAACTTCGACCCCGGGGTGTCATAACCGAATGTTCATTATGTACGTCGAGCATGGCATTTAGATCGCTAATGGTTTCAGTGATGGAACTGCTCTGATGAAACGTTCATAGTCCAACTTATAAGCTCAATGGATATCAAATAAACAGTCCTATTCTTTGTAACTTAATAACTAATTTCATTATGTGAGTTGTTGTTAGCATCATTCTCAAACAAAACATGCTGCATCATTCTCGCTTGCACAACTCCCAGGTGTGCATGCAGTGACGCGCTTGCATGTGAATCTAGTTCTCAAGTGTATGCAAAATATTGAGGATGGAAGAAAAACGTAATTCATCAATTTCACACAACCCATAAAGTCTTATATGCAAAGTATCACTGTTATAGGGATTTTCTGCATACCACACACATTTTTGCCCCGTTTTTATGACCCAAGTCTGTTCGGCAAAGCAGTAAAATGTGTCCTATTTTCCTGCTAAACTGAACACGAGTCGCGTAGTGCTGCTTGTCGCTGCTGCTGCTGCCGCTGCTGCTGTTGGTGTTGCATTACCATAAGATGTAGTCTAATCATTCGCCGCAGTTACCACTAACTTTCATTTATATATTTCTTGTACTTCGGTCAGGCATAACGAATATAAAACACAGGTAAGCTCTTTTTATGGCCAACACGGAATACCAAATGGCAATGCTAAATTGTTCGTAAATTCATTCTTGTTCATTCTCGTACCATGTGCTTGCGCGCTAAACAAATCAGAGTATTCATAAATTAACAGATAATCAACCAATTGTCAGGATTTCGCATTACATTTGTTGCTAAACAAATTATCGCATTTCCAGGGCACCCATTGTATGGTTTGATCAAATTTATTACAAGGATTGTCAATAATTGGTGAGATGCACGTTATTTTGGCAGGATTCGTGGTAAATCTCAATCGAACCACATATCTTTGCAGAAGTAGGTGTTTTAGCATGATTTCAATGCATATGATTTAAGGTCGAAGTTGTTAATTCAACAATTTGCTAAGGATTGTTATTGAGTATATCTGTGATCAGATATGTCATATCCACCCCGACCATTTATCCTTTTTATACCAACAAATCGGTTTGAGGTTATTTTTTCATTTCTACTGAGCGTTGCTAATAAATTGCAGTAAAATCAGGCTCGTCAGCAACGAAGGTAGACACAATTGATTATCTGTTAAATCCAAGCGAAAGCATTCCAACACTTTGGGACTTCCATGCAGGTTACGGACTGACTGACCAGAACTGAAGATGACATGAGCGTGAATTGGCGATTCGGTTCAGCCCTAGCATAAGCTATTTGGCACAACGATAATACTC